AGTTCATGCATGTGCAATAAAAAAAATCATTGTTTATTTTAATACAATTTTTTCTCCATAAAAATACAATAACAGGTTGGCTAATAAAGAGGCACAGATGATTACCTTATTACCTTAGGGCTTTCAACCACTTATTGGGAGACCTTGTCTCCAAGGAAACATATTTATTTCTAATCCAAGGGTTAGTGTGTGTCGTATTGAGCAACATTTCATTTAACTTGCAACTTTTATTTTAATCACTTTAACCTTAATCATATCTTACCAGATTCAAGCAGGCTACAAATATGATCTAACTTTATACTATAAACCTACTCTTGAAAGAGCGAACTGAGAGGTCATGCAAACTAATAATTCTGTTGTTTAACAATGCAACCTGCAACGATCTACAACACTCTACAAAAGTCCACCAAAACATGCAGCTAAAAGTCAGAGATGCACAGAGACAATCTATAGTTAGACACAATAGTTCTTCACCTAGACATTTTGAACTTGATTCTAAAGTTGAGTGTTCTAACTAACAATTTTGTTATTTCTCGATACAGCGCAAAATCCTAGCCAAAATCAATGAGTTATACAAAAATAAGTGAGAGAGTCCAGCTGGTGCCTGCATTTACATCCCTCTGTTGGATCATCACTAATGTAGCCCCCATTTCCAAGTTTTGATTGGTCGAGACGTCTATGCTGATTGGCTAAATACACAATGATCCGACCGGATTCTACATCATTACAGTATTTTCACTTTCAAGGAAGTTGGATCCTGCTATCAAAAGTATTAAAATTTATTTTATCAAATATATTTTTAGAATCTGAACACATAGCTTAATGGAAAATCAAAACAAAAAATGGGGGTCACTGTGCTTGTTTTGGCGCTACGGAGTATTTGATATGACGTTTTTGCACTGTATCTGCGTCCAACACATAAATCAGTACTTCAAAGTTTTTCCTTCACTTTTTTATCCAAATAAATAAGGGGAACGAATACAAATTGCTTTTATCTTGAATAGACACATCTTTAACTTTGTGACAACAAAAAAGTTTCAAATTACTTCGCATAGTCAATTTTTTTTTACCTTTCTGCACTCAAAAAATGTCATTTTTCTGGCATTAAAAATTTTCAAGGAATAAATCATTTTATAGAAATAAGATTCTACTGGATTTCGACAGAATGGATTAAATTATCTTATAGATTCAGAAAAGAAAATTAGAAGCGGGGGTCTATGATTAATTTTTTAGATGTTAGTAAATAGTGTTAATTTTTAGCCTTTTGGGGTATATTTTTTTCTGGACTTTAACAATACATTTGCTAAATTCGTCATTATATGATGATAGAATTCATGACAGTTAATTAAACAATTTGGGACGATCATAAAACATTTTACTGCAAAAAATAACTCTGTGTGCAACCTGCATGGAAAAATGGAATCCAAATTTAACAGCACAGTAAATATTTCGAAAATAATGATCATTTTCTTTTAAAAAAATCTTCCACCACAAAATATAGTTCCTCACTCTTGGTAAAGAATCTAATAGTGGGATTTAAATTGACTATAGTTTAATAGACATTGTAGGATCCAAATTTATCGTAAGTTCTATGCAGAATTTTTTAAAAAGGAGGTCCAGACAAATTTCTGCTTAAAAGCTGAAGAACGAACCTCTTTAAATTAGGTCCCTAGCTCCTCCTAAACGTGTTGGGCTGTAACAAGGATTAAAAGTGTGTTTCAATGCATTTATTTATGGCCATTATATTGAAACGGACTTCTGGTAAGTGTCTATTTATTAACATTATTCAAATCATTTTAATGTTTTTCTTTTAAAAAGACAACTTATAAATTGTAGCGCAAAAGAAAAAAAAAATCAGAGAAAATTCTACGTTTTGTAGCTGATTATAATTTTTTTTAACGCATTGTTCATACTCGTGCTCTTAGCACAACTGTAAGACACGATCTGCAACATTCCAAAAACCTAGCCAAAATTACTTTACTCCAACAATGAGATACACTTAGAGAGAGCTCAACTAGTGCCTGTATTTACACCCCCTGGCGTCTGCTGGACAACCACCAGTTTGACACCAGTTCCAAAGCTTTGATTGGCTAGGACGTCGATTGTCTAAATACACAATACTGCGACTGAACAATCCCAGGTGCAACTCAATCATTACAATATTTTTACTTCTGAATTATGCCCCGCCTCCTTAAAGTGTTGCGCTAGAAAAGGGATTAAAAATTATGTTTCAATGCATTTGTGGCATTTATATTGAAACGGCCCTCTGGTAAGTTTCAATCTCTCAACATTATTCAAATCATGTTTAATATGTCTGTAATGCAGAGCTGAATTTTATAAACCATGTTTTTTCCTTTGGGAAACTACAGTGCTAAAGAAAAAAAGTCAAATGAAATTCAATATTTTGTAGTTGGAGATGAAATGCATTTAAAACATTGCTTTTACTCTTGCTCTTAGCAAAATTGTAAGGTCCCCTTTACACTGAAGGACCTCTCCGCTAAACTTTTCACGATCTCAATGATTTATTCTAAAAAAGAGGAAATTACTTTCTGTAAAATTGAAGGCATTCACGATACTGCTACGAACCTAATACGTGGAAAAGTAGGATTTTCATCCATGCTTTCCGGTTTCAAAGTCTTTGTCCGACAATTGACCAACGTTCTTTATATCAATGCTTCGTTCTCACAACAATCCTTCTATGACCACGCCACTCTCTGAGTCCTTCAATGCGTGACCTTGTACGCCCGCGTCAAGATGCAGCTAAGCACGACAAGATTATACCACGCTAGCATTATGCTTTTACCAAGAGTATGCCAATTTACGTTTCACTTGTGTGGAGTTTAACATTATTTAATCATTTATTCATCTATGTATCTTTCCACTATGCCAAATTTAGAAAGGAATGATTTTAATTGATTTACTTTTGTATACGCAACGATACACCAACCTCACGATACGTACGTATCAAGGTATTCAGTTCACGATACGATACGTATCACGATACATGGCAAGGTAAAGAAGTCTTTCAAGTTTGTCATCATATTTTTTAAAACTCGACAGGGTTATATTTTTGATGATTAAAGTATCTATTTGTTAACTTTATTTGATTGATAGGTAGATCTCTGAGTTGTAACAATAGTCTAAACCAATGAAGAACATTTACATGGAACTACGGTAGCCTAGATTCAAAGTTCAGATTTGACATATTTATAGAAGGGGCCTTTCCTCATAATCTTCCTTTTAAACTGAAATGAAAAAGGAAGACATTCATTCTTTTATTCCTTTTATTTACGTAGAAAACCAGTTGTCATATTTCTTGTGTTATCACGTTCTAATCCACAAGCTGGAAATGCACGCGTGATGAGATAACATGTATTACTATAGAATACTTTTAGATCTAAAGGATTTATCACTTGTCTTAACATTTATTACTTTTAATCACATTAGGAATGAGATAAAATTCTTCACCGTGTTAAATCTGAGGTTTGTAAGATGCTGGAGATGAGTTAAATTGCTGTTACTGCGTTATCGTCGACCTCAAGTTTTGCGCGGAAGCCATTTTGAAATTGTAAACGAGGAAACAAAACGGTCGATTCGGAAAATTTTGGACCGATTGAACCGAACCGTGATATCAGTTTAGCGTATCGTGAATTGAACCGTGGAAAAATATACCGCGATGTACCGTCAAACGGTTTATCGTTGCTCTCTTACGCAATCCACTTGCTGAAATATGTTTCCTATTAGAACCAATCTTCAATGAGTCTAATTTATATATCATAAAATGACTGATACGTTAATTTCACTTACCCAGAAACAATATGGTTCTCGTTACAAATTTAGCTTTTTATGAAAATGTAGATTTGATTTTTCTACAAAGTTGTGTTTAGCTTCTTTTATGAAAACAAAAAATGATCAACTAACTGCAATGTCATAATGGTGCTGATTGGTAATAGAAGTCACTTCTACTATGTTCCTCGTGGTTGTAGTGAGAGCAGTCACGAATCTGAATACAGGTAGCAAGGAGCCTGATTGTGAGGCCAATGTAGTCATTTGCTGCTTCAAACTATTAACGACAGAGTCACGCTTTCCCTGCAACTTGGTTTCGTAACAAATTCGTTACGACTTCATTAAGATCATTAAACATCGGGACCTCGCTCTGCTTTTTTCGTGTGGGCTCAATATTGTTATAGCTCATCCACGATCTACGCAAAATAAAATCCAACTGCATTCTCAACACGCTATCGAAGATCTTGGCACGATGTAACAAATATCTTTCACAATTGAGCTAGATTTTAAAGTCAAAGCGCAGCAATCATCTACAAGATACTACATTAAGGAAAATGCCTCATGTTAAAGTACAGTTTAGTAGTATATCAAGCATTGTTAGAAAGAATGACACGTTAGTCTCAATGAATATCTTTGGAAACAGAAATAAATGAAATTGAATAAATGTACGTAAAAAAGAAAGATAATTATTTTCAAATATATTTTAAAAGTTCTATCTTGGCGAATATGCGATACAATAAGACATCGCAGTATGTGATACGAGGTGAACTTAAGAGAAGTGTTTTATTAATATTTGTATTTCAAGATAAAAAGTAGAACATCCAAAATGTAATGTATAATCGAAATGAGAGTATGTTAACTTATGTTAAGCAATTCTGTACATTTCACAATTTTATTTTTTAAAAGTTTATTTAAATGTAACAGTAAAAACGTAAAACAAAAGCATGGAACAATCATCGTGATGATCATCTTGCAGATCGTCATATAGACCGTGATAGTGGGATTTTTATTTAAGCTTCTTCGAAGACGTATTCGCACAAACCGCAAAAGGCTAATATGAAATATAAGAAAATATTAGTATAATTTTTTTTTTATATTTTCAACAATATCTGAATCATGGTCATTTTAAGTAGATTTACTCTACTTTTTAAAAAAAATGCATATTACAATCTTTTTATAGATTATTGCATAGACGACATCTTCCGATGTAGAAAATGGAGGAGAAGCAATCATGCGGTCTTAATAGCAAGGTGAGAAATATAAATCTTGTATGGTATTTGGGGATTGTCTCAAAAAACTCAACTCAGAACAAAACACAGTGCTAAGTTGAAAGTTTTACTTACATATACACGTATACCGTTTCGTTTTGTTTACTTGAAAAGTCTGATGTTGAGAAAGCATGGACAGAAATCGGAGAAAAAGTAAGATCCACTCCTTCAATGGTGTTTTCTGTCATTGGGGATTCCGACAGCTTTGTTCCCAGACCATGGTCAAAATCTGTGTTCCAGACAGCATTGATTGAAGCGGCTAAAAGTGCAGGGGGTACGTTTCATATACTACCCATTCTTATGAAGCAGAGTTTATTCTAAAAAAAATAATTATGTATAAGACAAAGAAAACATTAATACACCAATTAGATTTTCCTTGCCCTTTGTGGGAAACTAAATCTTTTTAACTTAATATAAAATTAAGCTTTCTTATTGCTAACATAATACTTAGAAACATGAACATCTCATGCTTAGAAATAACCTGTTTTAAAAAGTTACACAAATTAAAAATTTTTTGTTCCAGCATTTTAGAGAAATCTGTTAATGTATAAACTATTGTTTGTTTGTTTATTGTTTAACGTCCCTCTCGAGAATTTTTCACTCATATGGAGACGCCACCACTTGCCGGTGGAGAGCTACAAATTTTGACCTATACTCGGCACTTACGGCCATTGAGCAGTGAGGGATCTTTTTCGTGCCAGCACCTACTGCGACACGGGACCTCGGTTTATACGGTCTCATCCGAAGGACCGGTCTCCACGTCCCACAGTGGGATTCAAACCCGCAACGTAAGGATCAACTCCTTACTCCGCGACTCTAGAGCAGACGCTCTAACCACTGCGCCACGCGGGCGACAATGTACAAACTAACATTAAATTTCCTTCTCAATGATGAATATCTTGTAAACTTATTTCCTGGATGTCCAGTTAAATTTCTTAAATTCTAAAATTTGTGATTATTTAGTTTATTGAGAAAAAAAAACCCCAGAATATGGTGGTGGTCACACATATGACATTGTTTGTTTTGCTATTGCTGTAACTCATGATAGAAGCATGTCAGCGGTCATTTATCTGAATTTGATTTTTTGGAGAATTCCCCTCCTCCTGTCATTTTAAGGACAGAGCGTACTTTCGATTTTTTAGACACATGGATCCTTTATCGTGGATACGACTACGGCGTGTCTTCCATTGTACGGAGTGCTTATCGGAAGTACGGGGACATGGAATTTCGCGCCAAGAGCCGTGACGTACTTATGGATGATATGGAGAGACACGTGAAGTTGATAAGCTTAGCTGGAAAATCCACAGCTCCTAAAACCATCCAAACAGCATACAAGGTTGTTGCATAAAATTTAGGTGTCTATATAACAAGCCTGAACCTTTATGAATGGTTTTTAGTTTATAAAAAACTTTATATCGCGCATTTTGATTGGGTCCTTTTATTTGCCCTGTTTTAGGTGTACCAAATTGAAGATGTTAATGTGGAATACCTTAACGAGGTAATAAAGTATAAACATTTCATTTTAAAAGTGAAAAAAAGCTTAAGATAACGAGATCAATTTCAAAAAATAAGATTTACAATTTTTTTTTTTAAAAATCTGTCAACAAGGAATAAACACGAACTTCAGGAAATTCCAGAGGGAAATATAGGGAGATAACGAACAGTGTTCAAGCTCGAAAGTCCATTCAAACAATACAAATCAGGAGCAGAGCAAACACAGACTTTTAAAACATCAGAGGTGGGATCAGGTGCCATGAAGGAGTGAGCATCCCTTTCCGACCGGTCACACCCGATGTGTGCTCCTTGTCATGATAGGAAAATAACGGAAAAATCCTTAGACTATTCAGTGTGTAAACAGTGACCTAACGATAAGTATGAAAAACGTCAGTCAGCATTCGACTTAATGATAGATTGTCATGATCGGGAAATAACGGAAAAATCCGTCGACAATTCAGTGGGTAAATAATGGCCTAACAATTGGTATGAAAAACGTCAGTCAGCATTTGACTTAATGATAGATTGTAATTGCTGACAAGGTCATTGAATCGACCATAGAACTTACGAAATGATGACTTTAAGCGAGACTTGATATACTTGTTTCATCAACTTTTTTGTCAATAACTTACCTCGTTTTAGAAATTGTTCATACGTAGAGCATGCTCGTGGGTATTGAATTAACTTAGAGATATAAATCCAATATTTATCTGATGAGGGTATATTGCTGCATAAGTAAGGGAAGTTAACGATTGAAAAGTCAAAGTCATCATGTTGTCATTAAGCTTTGTTGTTAGATTACAATTAACGTCGTTTTCTAGTAGAACATCCAAATATGAAACAGATGTGTCAGACTCTGTGGTATCTTTCATTTCAAGCTCACTCGGATATATCGTATCGACATATGAATGGAAATAGCTATTGTTAATTGATTTTAAAAAAAAATGTTAATATGACTTACACCTGTTTATGATAGATCAGCACAGAACCAACAGAAGCCGAATGTAGCATTGAACCTACAGACAAAACGTCATTTTTACTCGACTTTGAGGAATATGTTTCGAAGCAAGAAGTTCCTTTTCTCAGTCAAACAATAGACCTAAGTATAATATTTCAATTCAATTTGTTCATAAGATTGATATCTGTGGCAAAGTTGTATTATTGAATCACTAGTATTTATTTTAAAGGTGCTTGGACACAGATATAAAGTAAATATTTTCTCAAGTTTTCGGTATAATATCATGACTTATATGTTGCTATAGCATTTCAACAGAAATAAAATAAAAAAAAAAACTTATTTTATCTGGAAATTATTGAAACTAGAAATTTCGGGACGTGTTTGATTGATACATCCTAACACTTTCATAAAGCAAACTTTATCCTTTATATTTAAGAAAAGTAAAATTTTTGTTTTGTATTAATGAAATATACTCAAACTATAATTCAGAAAATTCAGAGTAGAAATGTAAGAAAGCAAAACCAACTCACCAGTATTGTCAGTCCGTGCTCAGTGATGTGTGCGGAGTTTAACAAATTGAAAGCACCCGGTGAAACGTAAACATTAACAATAAGAGAGCTCGTATCCTGTTTACAAAAACAGTTTACGTTTCAAGGGTGTGTTTAATTTGTTTAACTCTGTTGTACAATGTGTGAAAGTGCATAGATGTGTCAATCAAACGCTTCCCGAAATTTGTAGTTTCAATAATTTCCATGATAAAACAAGTTTTTTTAAAATTTTATTTCCATATGAAATGCTATAAAACATATAAGTCATGATATTATACCGAAAATTTAAGAAAATATTAACTTCAAATCTTTGTCCAAGCACCTTTAAAGAGTATTTCTCAGATAAAATTTATTATAATATTCTATCAAAATACTTTGGTAAGGTTAGGTAAATCGTCGATAATTTGAATACATGGCTTGCAAAAACGTGTTTAAGAACTCATTCCTGGGGGCATTTACTATCAACATGTTAATTTTTATTATTATATTTTTTTTTCTTTTAGAATTTCCTATTCCAATTGTCATTTTGGCATGTGAAGGCGATATTACTACGATAGAACATATAGCTCGGGCTCTGGAAAGGAAGATTCCTGTGATAATAATAAAGGGGTCCGGAAAAGCTGCAGATCTTATTCTGGATTATACAGAAAAGTTTGTATTGTTCCTTCTGAAGTATGGAGAAGACATTTTCAATTCAGAAATATCAAAATCTTCAAAGTTTTATGCAAGAAATGTTATGTTTTTGGTTATTCCTTTCAAAGTATTTAAACTCTTCTAGGAAATTTGCCTCTTTCTGTTAACTGATGAAGACAGAAAAAACCCGAACGAATAATACGCTCGGAATCAAAACAAAGACTTTTTGAAATACAAAAATAAAAATATTCGTGCACTGGATTTTGATTCCATATTATGTTTATATATATAGTGAATTCCATAGAACTTTGCATCATCTTGCAGCAAAACACTTCTCAGAAAGAAAGCAAGTGTTCTTTTTGGAATTCAATTTGATGAGAATACTTTCCAATCACTAACAGAACGTTTAGAAGACATTACAAAAGCATCTGATTTGGTAGGTAGCAGGCTGTAATTTAACCAACTGTCCTAAGCTAACCTTTGCATTATTCTCCCCTTTGCAATCAGGTGAGTGAACTTTATAGACGATTTATGGTTAACGTATTAGAAGTTATTCTTGCTTAATTACCATCAATTTCAGGAGAGGGACATTTCACATATTTTTTCCTTGAAATTTAAATATGTGAGAGAAAACGTAACGAAACATAGAATACAGCACATATAGCATATTTTTTAAAAAAAAACATACTCTTATTGGAAATTGTTTTCGTAAAACAGATTGAAATGATAGAATGAATATGCTTCCATGTGTACTTATATGAGACCTTAAATTCCCTTCCTGAAATTTTTAATTTTTTAAAACAAGTTTTCCATTAGGTTTTTGTCTTTGACGTTAACTGTGACGACCCATTGATGCTGGCAAACATAGCTGGTGAAGCTATAGTTAGCTGCTGGGCTACGGAGAAAATACTAAGGAATAAAAATAACGGTATATAGGTTCTAAAATAACTATACGATTGAAAGTAATTTTTTATCCAATCAAATGGCGCGTTATGACCAGAATAATCTACTTTTAAATGATGACAGTGAAAATATGAATATAATGACAATACCACTAATAATGATAAATTAATAATGATATTGAATGATTTATTTTGCTGATGCAGACGCAAGTATGAAAAGTCAACCAGCGACTCACAAGGATAAGACTTTGTATCTTCCACAAAGTAATGGGAGTGTACATATTGGTACAACGGTTTCTGTAGTCCAGCTTCGTAAAAGTAATGCCGTGATGCCACAGGATGAGGAAATCGAAAGATTATTTTCGCAACACAGAGAATCGAGAGCATATGTTTTAGACACAAAATACTCCTCTCCCACCTCTCTACCTTTGTACTTTTATTTTGAGTACCAGTTTCTGCAGGAACTAGGAAAGTTGAAAGAATACGGTCATGTGAGTTTCTGTTACATGTAAAACTTTAACTATATGCGGTTTATGTTATTTTCCCTAACTTTTTAACTTTTTATACAAGATGGTATATTTCAGTAATCAGTTTTATTGGCTTTGTTTTGTTGCTGTTTTATAGATGCTGCTTTTTGAAGCATTAATTGCCAATAGATGTGATTATGTTCGAGTCTTACTAGATCAGGGAGTTCGATTTAGACTGTGGAATTTATCTGAACTATATGAACAGGTATGCCAAAAGTGAAAAAAATCTCGAATCGTGTGATCACACACAATTTTATATTGTTTTCATTTATATACCAGTAAATCACGGATTAAGCCTCATTTTATTGCGATATACACACGATGAATACGTAGAACAATACGAATTCCTTATTATCTTTTTAATGACAAGAGGGTTATCTAGAGCCCTTTTCACAGCTAAGAAGTTAGCTAACATCACTAACGAGCACGTATTATGAAATTTTCTCCATTTACTAAAATTCGTAAAAACGTTTTGTACGTTATTACTGCACGAAATACTAAAAAAAAAAACAACATTGCGTAGCACAACATGACCTCATTACGGACTTTTTCAAAAAGCACTTTTACAGTAGACGGCTTACTCTGACATTTAAACCTGCCTTATGTATGGAGGTACGGAATTGATAATAGAGAAGAAACCTTAATAGTGGTTATTGGTATGGTGTTAGGAGCACTAACATGATTTACCGGTATTAAATCAACGCAAGAGGTGATGGGTGGCAGAATTACATGACGTAAATTACCTTATTCTCCTTTTAATCTCATTTTCTGAAGGAATCAAATAAGGAAGAAAAAACATTCCTGGAGGAAAACTAAGCAAGAGTAGGTCAATGTGGGAAGGGACGGGGTTGAGGGTAGGGTGGTTGACGTTCTCTTCGTAGACAACGTAATATGTGCTTTGAAATGGCCCATTATTATCGTTTGATTAACTGTTAAGCTTAATAATTATATCGCAAAAAATCTTCCGTATATTGTCCCAGTGTAAAAGTAAACTGTCGATTGTAAAAGTGAGCGCTTCTTGCAAAAGTCCAATAGGCACTTTACGGGAGTTATGAAATAAATAGCGGGGATTAACAATTTTACAAACTATAGACACCTGAATATATAATTATGCCATCAGTGGGGTAATTTTGTTACATAGTTTTGTAGTGACCAGATACGGGATGATACCTTGCAAGTGTAATTCATACCTTGCCTGTCTTACCTTGCCAGGTATAAAATTTAATAACCAGGTATCATCCTTACCTAGTCACTACAAAACTATATAACTACATGTAATAATTGTAATATTTCATTTTTTAAGTATATTTTGCCAAAGAATTGCGGTTAGTTAAACAAGTTTAGACAAAAATTACCTGGAAAAATTTTGCCTGGAATTTGGTCTTCTTATTACACTTATTTAAAAATTAATATCTCTGCCAACAACTTGTTGTTTTTATTTATTCTAAAATTGCACGATGTTTTTAACCGATCAGCACTGAGTTCATGAAAAAGCTTGGTATCATAAGATATTGCTTGTTTTAATTTTTATACCCTGTTTATGAAATGTTAGCAGTGCAAAATTGTTTAACAATAATAAAGAAACATTAATTTGCAACATTTTTGAATAAAATATGTTCTTCAAACCATTTTGCTTAAAATAAAATTATTTATGACATCTGGTGCGATATGATTCAGATTAAAGTTATAGCCAAAAAGTGTAATTAAAGTGCAAATGGTCAATTAAATTGTATCGTTGTAAACACTGACGGCAAATATCTTTTGCGAATTTGAGTTAATTCTAAAAAATCAGTGAGTGATACGTCTTAATCGTATTTTTCTGAAAGACCACCAAATGTATAGAATTTTAACGATCAGTAATTACTCTATTATGATGCAAGTTGCAGGCATAAATTACAATATTATTGATTACTGTTATCGCTTTTACTACTATCTTTCACTGATCATTAATCTGTCGCTGAAACTTCATTTACCGATATCCAATTTTTCTTATATTTCTTTTATTAATATTTCTTTTAAGACTGTTTCATGTAAAGATTGCCATTTCGAAAAGGATGACTGTCTACACATTCAATGGCTTCTAAAGGTAACAAATTTTGTAGTTTAATTTCAATATACATTGGTATATATCCAGTATTACGTGTCAGTGAATGATTTTGCTTTTAATTGGGGAAAGGTGAAGATAACAAACAGTGATCGATATCATAAAACCACTAAAAAACGAATCGGGAACAGAGCAAAAGCCTGGATCTCTGAAAACACGAGGTGGGAACAGGTGCCTAACATGAGTAAGCATCCCCTGTCGACCGGTCTCACCTGCCGTGAGCCATACGCAGCTATGTTAAGGCTGTCCGAAGGCTTAATATGCATTAGATACATACTATTTTATTTTGAGCTATGTTTTGATTTCAATTTGTACTCTTTGTATACATACACCGTTTAGTTGTAAAGAGAGTTGAATAAGGTATTATAAAAAAACATTTCTGTGATGTCACATGACTGTGTTGATCACGTGACGGACACATATAAATTTTCTGAAATGTTGCACAAAAATCGAATCGGCACAAGTGAAAATCAAATTAATTGTGAACGGCTTGTTACATAAATCAATTAAACGTATTCTTGGGCATATATAAAGTGCTGGGGGGCAAGTCTGAATTTTATTTCTTAAGAAAATATTTCACGAGAAATTCAACTTACCCATATACTCTTCATCGCAATTTATACAAAATGGGATAAATTACATGCAATCCCCCAGCAAAATTCAGTCAGAGGACATATTTCTCTAGTCGATTCACACAGAATATCTTCGATTAATCCTTATTATTCACTTGTGCCAGTCTAATATATACACGATTTATAGATTCTCACTCTGTCTACAGACGCGTAAGGGGGAGCGTTTCACATTATTTTTGTAATTGTTTGAATACGTACATGTTAGACAAGAAAAAGGAATAACGATATTATACTGCAAATATTAACCATCATAACAGCCTTAAAACAACAATCCAGACACATGAATTAAACATCAACGTAAAAAAAAAAATTCTACATGTGATGTGAAAGGAATGTAAAAGTTATGACACTTTCCCCGTTACGTCTGCTCAAATTTGCAATGGCATGACTTCATATGCCATTATGACGTCATATCTAGGTAGTTCAGAGAAGTTACTGCGGCTGGTACACTGTGACATTCCTCGGACAGCCTTATCCTAACCGCGTATGTATTGATAAGGTAGACGACGTTCTTTATAGTCTAATTTATAACCTAACAAATTACTGGAACCATGTCAGACAAAATACGTCGCAACGATATATTGTATTTACAAGCAAGCTCACAAGGTCACTATAACGACCAAGCACCGGTCGCGGAAGTATAAAAAACACTCACTGCTCAATGGCCCTGAGTGCCGAACGAAGGTCTAACTTTAAAGACCTTCACCCTTATATGTTGACGTCTCTATATGAGTATAAATATTGAATGGGACGTAAAACAACATACAATTAATTAAATAATGATCTTTTGATGTTTGAAAAGTTATAAGAATTTATATTATCCAAAAACTTTTTGGAAGTTTTAAAATCCATTTATTGTTTAGTGTACGACGTTCTTTTTATGAGAGAAAATACTTAGTCACGTTAAGGATGCCCTGAGTTCATATTTATAATGCACTTTATAATAGTCTTGACCTTACAGTTCAAGTGATCCAGAGAAGTGAATCCATTGGTTTGACAATTAGAAAGTGCTAAAATAAATAAGTATAAAAGCAATTTCGCTTGTAAAATCTTATCAATAAAACTGCAAAAATAAACATTAATTTGAAACAATTATATGAATCAATAATTTATCAAAAAGTTATATAACTGTACAATGGAAGAAACCGTAAAAGAAATCATCAAAATGAATGAAATATGGAAATAACTAACAGTAATCAAGCTCAAAGTCCATTGAAACAATACATATCGGGAGCAGGGCAAACAAGATCCTCTTAAAACATGAGAGGTGGGATCAGGTACCATGGAGGAGTAAGCATCCCCTATCGTTCGCAGAGAAATATCCATAAAAATATTGACATTATGTGTTTGTCGAAAGAATTTTTTTTTTTTTTGCATTTTTATCGGGAAGGGGTATTCATTGTGTAAGATAACCCTTTTAGTGCAATCTATCTATGTCATTTTTATCATTAAGTAATTTCAATGCATGAATGCCTTTAACAATATGAATTTTCTCCGCATTGTGGAGAGGACTACCTCAGGTTTTTCGAACTTGTGTCCAATCCCGTTGTATATTGTCAATAAAATATGTTTAAAAAATCCAATAATTTTTTTTTTATCATTTTTACATCCCTTCTGACTCAAAATAATCATTAGTGATATTGCTAAAAGGCAGTCAACAGAGAATATTTGGTATGCATGTTTGTTGGGCTGATTTGTTGAATATATAAATTTGATAATCCCCCTTTTTTTTTTTGCTTTTTTTACCTTTGTCGGGATGTGTTTCTGTAGAAAAAAAAACAACAACACAAGTTAAAATTTTTTTCAGAAAAAATAGGAATTAAGGAGTTACCTTGAATGTTAATATTTTACCAATAGTCCCTACATTTCATTTAACTATCTCTACATTTTAGCAAATCGAGGAAAGGAAGGCTGAGGAGTTATGCTTTACTCACAGAAGAATTACGAGGAAAATTCAGGAAAAAGAAAGTGAGAATCGCCAAGCAGAAAGAGTACTGAAACGACTTACTGACCCAGAAGCTGATGCCAAAATAATTGACAAAATAAGGAAAGTTATTACTGAAAGAAACAAAGAAATTAAAGACCTGAAGGAGGATCTAAACACCTTTATTAAAGATGATAAAACACAGAAAGAGATTTCCGAATCTGCCAAAGGATTATGTCGGGAAATCTTGGGATACAAAGGTAAAATTTAACTATACAAGGATTATCAAAGGGTTCTTGGACTGTTGATATAAGAATAATACTGTGTAGCCTGTGCTTATACATGCATATGTACAGCAGAAGATTAAGAAAAATTAAAAAAAAATTATCTTGATAGTGTGATGAATTGCCAAATAAAAAAGACATGACACAGTCATGTATTTTATTACGTTCGACAACATCATTGCTTCTCAGTGTCCACTCCCTCTGCCTCAGTACATTTTTAATAACAAGATACCCAGGAGCAACCTGATTGAACCTGGCTTACTTATATGACATTCAAGTTTCATGAAAAGCCGATTTCAAAGCAAAGTAGTATAAACGGATTTATACAAATGATGAAGATCCTCACTTGACTTCTGCACTTTACTTTTCAAGGCGACTTTATTTGGATACCAGGATCTATCTATCTGATTTTTTGTTTCATTTGAAAGGAGGAAATCTGAACTTATTTTGAATGTCTTCGACTGCTTTAAATATTTTCTAAGTTTCTCTCAGTTTTGCATTGTGAAGCCTTGTAATTTTATAAACTTGGATAAAAGGCAACCCCCTCAGCCGTTATATTGAAGGAGACTTGATCGAACTGTTTTAAATAACGCTTTGTATACAAACTAATTGATTCGTTTTCAAGTCTTTTTGCCACAAACATTTTTACATTCGTCAAATTAACGTACTCTACAGTACCTTCAAAACCATACTGACTGAAGTTTGAGCAAAAAAGACAGTAATGAATAACAAAATAGAATTTTTTTCAGAAACGGAAGACAATGATGGACTCGAAGAAATAGAATATGAAGATATGGAGCAAAACTCTAGCTGTGTGAAGATCTCTGATATCCTGCTTTGGGCGATATTTGCAAATCGAAAGGAAATAGCTGAAATTTGTTGGCTTCGAACAACAAATCAATTATGTAAGCTCAAATGGTCCCATCAAATAGAAATTCTTATACTGAGAGAAATATCTGATTTCTTTAGAGAATGAGTAATAGATAATAATTTTATTTTATTTGTATTATGAAAAGAACATTACGTCTATGACAATGTAAATGTCGACAAAACATGTAGGAAAAGAGACAAAAAAATCTTCTTAAAATCATTAGATAATTGATCAGGTAACAAGAAAATTACTGTAAAAAACTCCCTCTCAATATGTTGACAGACTTAAAATATAAATTATACTTTACCCTTATGGTGATAAGCATTGTTAACTTCTACATTTTCGAACTTTTATTCGGATGTTAAAATCATTTGATAATGATCTTCATCTAAGTGAAGGGCCTCGTCTGTGCTGCAGTCCTGCGAAAACTTTCCAGAAAGGCGGACAACGTAAAGGAACAGAATCTGTCCACAGAATTTGCTGATCATGCAAAGTAAGATTTTTCTTTTTCTTGCAAATGTCGAAAGAATTGAAATTAATTAAAATGAAATTAAATGTAACACAGAATATTGTACAAATCTTATTTAAGTAAACTTTTACTACCGCTAATTAAAGTATTTATGTGAACCTGTGAGCCTGACTCTTATCTAACCCACATTTGATGTACAATATATTGCTTAAGTTTTTGGCTTTGCCTTTGTCAAAAAGAAAGTTAGCATGTTCTTTTTGACCTCAACATCAATATACGAGCTATGCTTTTTACACAGAATTCAAATTAGGATGCTTGCAACTGTTTTATCGCTAATTAGAAAAAATCCTCATTTTAGTTCCTGCTGTGTTTCCCAAGCCATTCTATGAACAAATTCAAATCTATCTCTTATATTTCCTATATATCCTATCACCTTCTCATATAACCTATCAATGGGTCGTATTCTGTTCTGACTTCTTTCAAACCAATCGTTAGGACTTTTTTTTTACACTAAATTTGACTACGGAATGTTCCATTTACCTGATAAATACATATGCCTCACGGAGGATGTGTCCGGTCAACAGGGGATGCTTACTCCTCCTAGGCACCTGATTCCACTTCTGGTATTTCCGGGGGTTCTTGTTTATGCCCTTTTCACATATTTGTATTGTTTGTAGATTTTTTTTTATCGATCACTGTTCGTCATCTTCACCTTTTTCATATGGTTGTTCTGTTATGAACTCTGGTGAGAAAAAGGCTTTTTTCTTCATCCTGTTTTTAATTTTCATACTCAGGATGTTTGAAGACAGATGTTTGGCATTAATGGACGGTATGTATGATGAAGATAATAAAAACGCAATAGATCTTATGGATGACGAGGCAAACGTTTGGGGTATGAAGTCTAGTCCTCTTACATTCGCCCACGAAAACTTTATGTATGACGTTGTTGCCCACACTTGTTCCCAGAAGAACATGAACAAACAATGGTACAACAATTTAGCTCCAGACTTAAAACCATTTCTTAAGGTAAAATTTATATAGATATATCACCATTGATCAAGAAACCAATTTTTGTACTTTGATGTGCATCGGATAAAAAATAATACTGCCGTGTTGGTATTATGCAGAAGTCGGTCGTCACTTAAAAAGTCAAGCTCTATTATCCTTATTTGCTGAATTTGGTCTCGGTTTTTAAGGTATCATCCGAAGGACCGGCAACTTTCACTTCAAAGTGCCGAGCGCATGGCGAAGGAACGGTTACTACCTATTTTTTTTTTATCGACTTAGGTCACTCACAGCCTTCCGATTACGGAGCGAGCGCTCTGCCGACTGAGTTACTGTGACGGTCGTCAAATAAATGAAGAACAGTGTTGGGCGTTTTAAGTAGATATTGAAAACAGATCCATGTAGAATTCACTGTGCCTAACAATTTGTAGTCATAGTACTAATCTGAGAATTAAAATCTTGCTTCATATTTTAGATGGAGTCATAATAGATAAATGTCTCCCTTTTAAATATCAAATAACTATTTCGAAAATAAGATGTCGCAGAAATTTGATGATCTACATTTTTGTCATTTATTTTATTTTTTCAGTCTGTGTTTTGGAAACCAAGGATGTTTTTTACCGCTCCTCTGACAAAATACATGTTCAACTACGTATGTAATGTTCTCAAACTTATTGTGTTACTTCAGTAAATATATATTTCTTTGGTTATTCAAACATCAGTTAATAATTACAATGTTTATTAATTTTTAAATGAAGTTTATACTTGTGAGATTTGAAGTTTCAGTTAGAAGCATATTCTTTTTAACCATTAAATTTTATACCAAAATACACGCTGCAGGACCTGTCCAAGTGCACTCTAGCTACAAAGTTTTTCTAAAATGCTGCAGGTTTATACAAAACGCTACAAGGTTTACACTAAAGGCTACATTGTTCACATGAAACGCTACAGTGTTTGTACGAAACGCTGCATACCCCTACTGATGTTATTGTGATATTAATTCAAGGCACTAGGTCTTGGATGATCAGTACAAAGGTTATAGGGTAGAACAGGGTTTATAAATAATGTATTTGGCAGTAAACAGAAATTCCTATAGTCTGTTTCATTTATATACATGGACCATGCAAAACCTTTCTGATAGATTTTCGTGATTTTAGAAAGGAAAGGGTGAGGAATAAAATCACGTGCTACTTATTATTTCTTTTTTATAAATTACTGCGAAGATTGGAGCGTCATGGCAATTCCTTTTTGAAATTGCCCAATAGGCTGGTAGAAAAAAACTGTCATATTTACTACAATGAAAAACCTTTGTTTACCTTATATGAATATTATTTTTATTGCAATCTTACCCCCTACATGTAACAAGAATGAGTAGCAAAGTATGTTGGCCTACTACCTTCACAGTTTACTTCGAGCACGTTGTTCAGGTCCATCTAAGATGCAATATTTTATGATCTGCGAGAGTGAACTAATTGAATTTTTTTTATTGTCTTTATTACAAAAAAAAAAAGAAAGAAAGATGTTCTCATGAATACGTTTTTTTTTAATAAGTTCTGCTTCATATGAATACAAGAAGGCCTGCTAATAAAGACATAAAGACGCAAATCCCCTTACAGAATGGCTTTGGGAAACCTAGAATTCTTCTTTTATTTAACAATTGTTTGTAAATGTGTGCATGGAAATGATAGGTAATAATGGACATGTTTTTTTTTTTTTAATCTATGAAATGCATGAAAAAATATCATTGTGTTGTTCTGATTGCCAATAAATTTGGTCTTTTCTAAGCGTAAAATTGCTGCAGTGTTCGTAGTAACAATAAAGCAATTCAATTAATTCAGCTGATTTGTCGGTTTTATGTCTCTTTGCTACCTACTTTAGCATTTAAATTTAGTCTGACCCAAGAAAATATAGTTTCCTATGCAAGCATATGTTTGTACAAAATAATTTAAATACATATATGTAGCTGCAAAAATGAAATAAAGAATACTTACTGAAGAAGTATGAATGAATTCTAGAGAGATTAAAGTACATTTCCATTGATATTATTCTTCGCTGAAAACTGAAACGTAACAATACTTTTCCCTTTACCGTGTCTCCACGTGCTAGCTATAGTTACTTTCTACACTTCTGTGAATAATTTACCTTATATATTAAAAGTCTCGATACAGTCTCAAATAATGTCTGATCTGTAATTAATAAGCATTGTTTTAGATCTGTATTATTATGATAAAAGCTCATTTTAGTACTGATATGCATATATCAATTAACACAATTATTGGTTTGTAGTAATATGGTGTAAATTGCGTTTGAAATGATTTTGTATTTGATGTAGTGAAAAGATTATTCTTATGTAGATTTATTCAAGTTTTATTTTTAATTCTTAAAGTTGATCGAATTCGTGGCACAGTTAGTTCTACAAAAAGGACACGGGGCCTAATTTAAATGGGAAATATTAACTACGACATCACACAAATCTAACAATCACAGGATGAACCTGCATCATTCAGTCAACTGAATGGTCTCTTAAAGGTCTGGAATGGTCACACTTTCCTTCACCTTTCAGTTAACTGAATGGCAGAGTGTCATCCTGTGAATTCTTGAATGAGTTATACGACAGTATCAGTTAACTAGGAAATATTCGGAAAATATATGAATAAAGTCATAAAAAAAGACATTGCATCCAAGCTAATAGTTTTTAAAATATTTGCAAATATTTTATTTAATTATTAAATACATTTTAAGATATGAAAATATTACGTGATCTGCCTCTTGCTGCATACAATCTGCGTCAAGTTTTACGAAATGACGTCACATCGACAATTGCATCGCAATATCCAGTGACTTGTTTCTATCTTGCTATGTGGGGTTTAACTCACGACAAAACAGCATTTTATAGGAAGTTTTAATGTAGTTAAATCGTCTCCTTTAGTATAAAACCGCAAAACATTTTATTTTGTGATTTTGTGTAGAATTGTGAGTATTGTAGATGTTATAGTTAATATTTCCCGTATAAATTAGGCACCGCCTCCTTTATGTAGTCTTAGCTGTGCTGTGCGCAAAATAATATAAGAGACATGACAACGTTTAAAAAAAAAATCCATTATTTTATTTTTTCTACAGTTCATGTTCATGTTCATGCTAGTGATGTACAGTGCATTTGTGTTGACACATATTGGTTCCGAGATTGACTCACTTGATACAGAAAACTTCTTTGAATATTATGTCTACTTCTGGGGAGCTGGTGACCTCATTGAAGAACTTATAAGCTGCTTTGTAAGACAAATATCATCATAAATAATTATCATGTTAAAAATATAACAACTGTAAAATTATTTTATAATAATAAGAAATATATACTTTTTCCAATCTACATGTTTTACGAATGTTAATCTTTATGCCAAAAAACTAAATTTATCAACAATTAAGTTCTGTTAGAGACATGTTCCTTTTTAGAATCAAGGAAACAATTTGGTCTTTTTAAAGAACATTAAAAAGGATAATTTATAAACTTTTGTTATGACATAAGACTTGATTAATGTGTTGTTCCTTGAAGCATATACATGGATACATACAAACCATAAATTTCTTTAAAGAAAAGAATGCAGAAAACACTGATTGTTTTCCAAAAATAAATTATTCCGAATGAACATAAACATTATAACCGATGAATTTCTAATGTATCATGCAAATAATAGAATAATTAACACAGATTATTCAATACTTAACGGAGATTTGCCCCTGAAAAATGAACTTTTCAAATATTTCGTTAACTAATTGACAACAATTATTAAGTATTTGGCCAGTATTTAGAAATAATTTTTGAATATCTAGACACAAAAAATATGTTTTAATTATCATATGCATATGGTGCGTTGGTCAAGGATTTCTTTCAATTTCGCCCGGCGACATAAACATTATAACCGATGAATTTCTAATGTATCATGCAAATAATGAAATAATTAACACAGATTATTCAATGCTTAACGGAGATTTGCCCTGAAAAATGAACTTTTCAAATTTTCGTACACTAATTGACAACAATTATTTATTTTTTGGCCAGTATTTAGAAATAATTTTTGAATATCTAGACACAAAAAATATGTTTTAATTATCATATGCATGTGGTGCGTTGGTCAAGGATTTCTTTCAATTTCGCCCGACGCAGTGGTTAGAGCGTCTGCTCTAGAGTTGCAGAGTAAGGAGTTGATCCTAACATCGCGTGTTCGAATCCCACTGCGGGACATAGAGACCGGTCCTTTGTATAAACCGAGGTCCCGTGTCGCAGTATGTCCTGGCACGAAAAAGATCCCTCACTGCTCAATGGCCCTGAGTGACGAGTAAAGGTCAAAATTTGTAGCCCTCCACCGGCAAGTGGTGGCGTCTCCAAATGAGTGAAAAATTCTCCCGAGGGACGTTAAACAACAAACAAACAATCTTTCAATTTCATTTAACAGTATCAGTGCTGTTTCGTTTATTACGAATTAATTAGGTCATATTATTTGACAATCGATAAATAACAATATGATCTGGCGCAACAATCCTTGAGAAATCATTGATATTTCTGCCAGAATTTGCAATTATATGAAATTAATTATCCAAAAGTTTCCATTAAATTTTGTCAATATGGAGACACCCGGGAATAACATAATGTACCGAATATGAAGAAATCTCGTTATAAATCTTGTAGTAAATGATGATTATGTTATGTACAGATTTTTAACTTAATAGCATAAATGAAAAGAAAACATCAAAAGTGTTCATTTCATCCTGGGACTTTCTTCGATTTTATTTTAAACTTGATAAAAAATATTAAAATGTTTGAAAAAAATTCTTTAGGGCTGTTTGGAATCAAGAGGTCGATCTCACCGCGGATATTACTCTAGACTGAAGAGATATCTGTACGACTTCTGGAACGTGGTGGATATTCTGTCCTATGCCTTTTTGATCACAGCATTGTTTGTACACGTTTATCATCCCTCCGCTGATTTTACTGTAGCAAGGAGAATATTTTCCCTGTCTCTTCTTGTTATGTACTTGAGGTTTCTTGAAGTTTTTCTAGTGGACAGGAGAATGGGACCAACTCTACTCATGATAAAAGAAATGGTAAGTCACATTAAACTGTTTTTATTAAATCAATAAAAGATTTTTTAAAGCATATTTACCTACTTATCCCAGTTATCTTTATGACAATAGTTTATTTATTTTAGTTGATACTAAACATATATCTAAAGTTAAGCTAAGGAGGAGCTGGACCTTGTGATCGGAAAAAAATCAATCTATTTTTTGTCATATTCCGTATGTCAATTAGTAAGTCCTACATATCTTGAAGCTATTCTTCCATCAGATTTCTTGACTAATTTAAAAGATGTCGCTCAAATACTGCTCCGTAGGTGTCTTTATGAAGCGTTGATTCTTTATATTTACAGGTTCCCTTTTGAATCCATTATGAGAAGTTTTAAAGCACGATTAAGAAATATGTATGAGGATGTACATGTACTTCTCTTTAAATATTCTAGAAAATTAATAGAATTTAAAATTTGTATAGCAGTTTTTTTATTTTCACGTTACGTATGAATTGGATAAATAGTACTCTTTCCAAAACAATTGCATTGAAAAGAAAGAAAAAACATTTGATTTTTTTTTCTATCAATAAGTTTATTTTTTCAAATTTACGTTTGGACTTAAGTATTTCAATGTTTCACCTGCAGAGCAGAGCGACACTTAGGGATAATTTTTCCCGGCGTCTGTCTGTCCGTCTGTCACCCCTATATATTCAGAACTGTAAGAGGTATGGATTTGATATTTTGTACAAATATTGCTTGGTACTGTGCCTTTTGTAAATCACCATGGTTAACAACCTTGTGACCCTTGAACCTGACCTTTGACCTACTTTTCAAAAATAGTTCATAGTGTCGATATACAGCATATTTTTGACATTTTAGAGGTAATTTTATGCTATTAAGAATGTGCACAGTTTTTCATAAAATATTAGGAAAAATACCAGTGTTACACATATCTTGACATAATTTTCTCACTATTTCATGTATTATGACGTCCTGAAGTGCGTCATTATCCTCAAATTCTGAAAAATTCATCAAAAAAGGCCAAAAATTTAAGCTATTTTTCAATATTTTGCATGGACCCCAATCTCTGATCTAAAATATTTAATTATATAATGAAACACTCTTTCAGAAGATTATAACTCATGTCTTATATTTTGGATCACGGGATGGGCTCATATTTTGATTCTTTGCTGAAGGTGCTCAAATACATCCATTTCGTTCAAAATGTAACAACATTGCATTTTCACAAAGCCTGTCTTTCAATACCTGGACTCTCAGAGGAAACTTTTTTATAGGGAATGAAAGCACTAAGTCTCTACTTTATTTTGATGTTTGAAATAGAACTTTTGAACTTGGTTAGTGACTTGGTATACGGACAGGGCAATTTTATTGATAAAGTGAACCTAGATCTTTCATGAAGAACTCAAACAAAAAAAGTGATAATTTGTTTTCCGTTTGATTTTAAACGGCATGATGCTATGTAGCGAAAATTGTCGTGAAAAGCCAAATTCGATTAATAGAAGTGGACCCTGCGTTAAAGTGATACTAATGTAGATAGTGAATAAATGATTTAATCAAAACAACGTGTCTGTTAATGGCAATTGAATTCATTATCTCTCTCTCTCTCTCTCGAACAGTCAAACAATGAAAATAATAAAATGATAGGTACACTGTTTGAAGCATACTAAAATGTTGCAAATATGCAAAGAAATTTAAAAAATGAAATACTAGCGTGTTTGACTTGTGAGACGTGTAGTATAGGGAAAAGGAGTGAGTCAATCAAATAACAATTTAAAAAAATTGACATGATCGATAAAATTTTTTAGATATTTTTATATCACATGTTGAATTTTACATTTTGTACAAAATTACACAACTACTGATGATTTAGCATGAAATTAACAGAGATGATGACGTAGTCAACAGAGTTACGTGACATGTGTCCTGCTTCTCCATAAGGGACTTTTTGGAACCTTAAAGAATTATAACTTTCATTTATCTTAAGTAAAATTCAAACAAAATGCTTTCTTTGTCAATGCAGGAATTAACTTGCAAATATTGCAGAAAAAGAACGCTACGCTCCTAACCGGGTAATGTTTTTTTTTTTTTGCAATTGTTGCACTCGTTAATTCCTGCATTAACAAAAAACAAAAAATGTTTCAATTTGCAAATATTCATGAAAGTTGGTTTAAGTTTATAAAATATCGTTTTATTAATCTGTACGTCTTGGCATGTTTCTTTGATGGAACAGCCAACTGTTTAATAATTCTTTCTTATACAGGTGACCTTCAAAATCCTGTCTAACTAGTTTAGTGTTAAATGATTGCTTTAGGGATGTGGTTTTCACATGAAATAAAGGAGAAAAAATCAGTTAATGTAAATATATCTATGTAAAATATACGAGTATTGTGTTGGTATTCATGATAGGCATGCCAAAGCTGCCATAAAGTATTATTCTCGATAGGAAAATACTTGCCGTATAACGGATAATTTAGCGATTTTATCCTAAAAGAAAGCATTTATCTTATAGCATAATTAATTTGTAGCGACTTTAGGGATAATTTTATTCATTTACTTGGACAATAAATGGAGTTTTCGACATCTAATTTTAGCTTTGCCAAGACCATCGCTGATAAAACCAAAATTGATCACTAAAAACCCATTATATGGTATTTTAACAACTTAGTGACCATTTATATGTGAGTATTTTGTAGCTGAAGGATCTCCTCCGATTCCTTGTTCTGGTCGTGTTTGTTGTACTTGGTGTGGGAATATACTACCACGCTAATTTATGGCCAGACCACCCAACTATTTGGAATGGAGACTTGCACAACTGGAGGATTTGGAAGATAATTTATTATCCTTACTGGCAATTATATGGGGAAACGAACAATAACCTTTTGCAAGGTAAGGGAATGACATGCTGAAGGGATTACATGTAGAAAATATTTCACAGGTTTTTAAGACTTTAGAGAGAAGCTGCATATTTGCCCGAATACTTCGTAATAAAACCTTTATTCCTAATGTCTTTCTTTCATCACTGATCTTTATTTAATGCATTACAAATAAATACTTGTCAGATGTCACGAAGTAGGTATGATGGTTAACAGTTCAGAGAATGCAAAATTTGTTTATTTTTCTATTTATGTACAATTTGTAGGTTTTAAAAAAATCTTCTTTTTTTTGAAATTTATTATGACGGGTATTAAAGATTCCATTAATTGCAGAATGAATACATACATATATACAACATGTTTTTTTCTGCAAAGGTTGCAAAAGTTGACAAAGAAAGTACTTAATTATTTATATATATCACCGGAAGCCCCAAATTTGTTTATTTTTCTATTTATGTACAATTTGTAGGTTTAAAAAAAATCTTCTTTTTTTTAAAATTTATTATTACGGGTATTAAAGATTCCATTAATTGCAGAATGAATACTTACATATATACAACATGTTTTTTTCTGCAAAGGTTGCAAAAGTTAACAAAGAAAGTACTTAATTATTTATATATATCACCGGAAGCCCCAAATTCGTTAGGTTTTAGTCATGCCCCATTTCAAGTCGAATGAATATCGAATCAGAAATCGCATCGTGTGATCCCACCTTTACAGCTCAAGCCTAGCCAGATCTCTTTGCGTGAAACAACTATTCCTGTTTCTACACGTTCCCTGACTAATTTTATGTATTGTTTTAAATACATGTGCATGTCTTCCCGCAATCACCTTTAAACAATCATGTTTCTGTAGCCTGACTGTCACCAAACTTTATCAATAAAGAACTAAAGATGAAGAAGCTTAGTTTCACGACAATCTACTTTACAAATCCGGTAAAACACACCTAAATCGTGATTTAAATTGCCAGAAAGAGGAAAGATTATTGTTGTTTTATCACATTGAATATTACCATATATTTATCATATTGATGTGTTAATTAATGCAGCAGATGCGTGCTCAGGTTGTACAAACACGAAAAGCATTGGGAATAAAGAACAAAACAATCTTTTGAAATTTTACTGAAGAATGAGGGAGTGTTGTGTAAATGAGTATTTTAATTATATAGGGGAACTCAAAGACTGTACTAACGATACAAGCATTTGGAAGACAGACTTGTCTAAAGAGCGATGTCCCAAGGAGGACTGGACCGTCTCAGCCGTAGCCGCTTTATACATGCTGTTTTCAAACCTACTTTTGGTGAATCTTGTTATTGCCATGTTCAGGTACCATTCCGAAATATCTCTCTTTGGGGGGGGGGGGGTATGGTTGGGGTCTTCCTCATTTTTTGTTGTGTTTTTTAATTCGTCTGTCGTTTTTGGTTTTTGTTGTTCACTTTTTATTTGGGTATTTGAATTAAACTTTATGTGCTCTTTGAAAACTCAAATCAATGACTGTGACAAAGTATTTATAAATTTAAAAGTTTGTAATAGTGTTGATTTTTAAATGAAAGAGTTTCGTCATGTTAATATTTATGAGTAAAATTAATCATTCATTCATTTAGTTATACATTTGAAAAAGTCCAGAACAATGCTGAAAAACTTTGGAAGTTTCACAGATATACGGTCATCAATGATTATGAGTGGAGAATCCCCTCTCCTATCAATTTTCTTTTTCTTCCTTACCGACTTTGCTGCTGCCCTGGACGAAAAGTTGCATGTAAAGACAAATTAAGAGGTAATTTAATCGTCACAATTAATTCATTTAGAATTTTGGTGTTCAAAAGCTATTCAAAGAGCAAGAGCCACTAAGGGCCTTTTTTGGCCCTGTCAATTTCTGAAAATTCAAAACTGCATAGTTTTAGTCGACAAAGCAAAAAAAATAATACTTGAACACCTGGTGAATGAATATCTACTGACAATGACGTAATTTTCTTGCAAGTCAATGCATTATGACGTCATGAATTGCGTCATTATTCACATATCCTGAATATTCTACAACAATTGCCAAAAGATGATGCCATTTTTCAATATTTTATATACAGCACAACCTCCGATCCAAAATGTGTGAATATATTATAAAAGAACTGTTAATGAAGATTATAAAACATATTTTAATTTTTGGATCGAGGGGTGTGCTCATATTTTAGTTCTTTGCTGAAGGTTCTCAAAGACATCTGTTTTCTGCAAAATTCAGTAACATTGCAAATTCACCTGTTTTTTCATGCCCGGACTCTTCCAAGGCAATTCTGTTATATAAACTGAAAGCACTAAGTCTCTACTTTATATTAATCTTGAAAGTGGTACACAGGATGTAAGTCAATAAATTGGTATATCTACAGGGACATTTTATGCTTAAAGTGAACCTAGCTCTTTCTTTTTCTCCAAAAGAATGTGTCAACAAGAAAGAGGCACAGAAAGAAGTGGAAATCGACAAAAAGCAAAGACTTTATAGAATGCATCTCCAAAGAAATACAGCAGTCAAAATATTTAATAAAATATGATTGAGGACAGAAATCAATGTCAAGTTATATTACATTCCAGATACTGTTTAATATTTAAAATATGGACATGTATTTAAGTGTTTTTAACATAGAACCTACGTCGCATGACTTCATAGTTAAATGAACAAATCCAAGAGCGTCTCATCTAATGAAAATACACAACTGTGATAATGTGAGTGGTATGCAACTATTTTGAAGCAATGCAAAGTTGCTAAGAAATCTTCAATTGACTACAATATCTTGAACATTTGTCGTCTGAGTTAGATCTATTAAAGATTATGTTCAGTGTTTGTAATATCTATTATGAAATGATTTGTATTCATTTTGCAATTATTGTTCATTATTCATATGAATTTTAATGGTTCATGTATAATAATAATATTTCGCTAAAATATTAATTTTTAAATAAAAATCTACATTTTTGATAAATATTCACAATGTAAATCTGAAAGTAATACCAAAACATTCATTTAATCATTAAATCATGTATAAGTACAAAAAGGTCAATAGAAGTAGTAAGGATAAAAACATCTCTCTCACCCTCATTAACTTGCGGGGAAAGTGTAAATTTCAATCACTTTTTAATCATTTGAATTTGTTCTACATCATATTAAGGATTGAAAACACTGTAACAAGAACTTTCTGTAATTATTTACAAATTTAGAGTTGTAGGTTGACTAAAATATTTAGCTCATTTGTCTTTATTTGTTGAAATGTGGATTTAATCTCCCATGTCAATTAAAGAAAAGGCATTTAATTTTGAATAATATTTTTAACTATTCTTCAGTTAACAAGTCTTTAAATGAAAATGTGTGAAGAAGTATTTTTGTGATTTTCTATATTCTCCTTATGACTATGTACCTACATGTATAAAAATGGCTGAAAATTATAGTCGCATTGTATAATTATCATTCCAAGTTGCACCCGCTGCTCTACATTTATTAACAAGGAAATATGCCATATACTTTCAATTAGTATACATAAGCGAGTGCTAATTACTCATTTTGAAAAGTTTAAAAATCTTGTGATAAAGACGTTTACGGCATATGCTTTTTCTTTATACTGTTATTGCAAAAAATAATGGTATAAAGGGCATATAAAATACATGGTTACTGTCTTACTAGAAATAGGGTGAACTCATTCTGCAATAGACAGCCTTGAATTCTAGTAACTACTAGCAATATTTCTATCGACGGAATATTATAAAAATGGAGCTTAACGTATATTATGTGATAAAAATATGAATATGAACCGTGACTGTCCAACAATTTTTTCGGTTTACGGGTCTTATAATTCTTCAGAATATGATAAACAATGCTTTCAGACAAACTGAAATTTTATGCAAGAGACTGAAAAATAATCCAAAATATTCTGATGCTTTGGAAAGTAGTAAATGTATTTAATTTTCCTTCAGTCTTAATTCATGTATAGTGAATGCTGTATCCTTGTATAAACCCATGAAGGAAATGTAACACTTTTCAAATAATTTCTTAGAGATATATTTGATTGCCTGACGCCACGTGCGTCAGGCAGTATAAGGATTAAGATTTCAGGGATTCGAAACTAAGCGATCATTCTTAATGAGCTAGATTTTGTGCAAGCTGATTTACATCGGAATTTGTTACCTGCATTTAAACTAATACAGTTTGCAGAAGAAAAAATCATATAACTGATGTAAAATAATGATGTGTTTAATTCCTTCAATTTTTTTGCATGCACATGTTTATTCTTCGCGATTCTTTGTACGAACATGTCCGTGTAACATTTTTTCTGCGTTTCTAAACTACTGGATCAGTCCATTTGCCTTCTACGAAAGGGGTGACACAATCATTTCGCGCCAAGTGTCACATGTAAATTATCTTCGCGCCTTTTTCTTGGGTTGTTCTATTGAATGGGTATGATGACTGACTTCTATACAAATAAATAAAGTTTATTCTTAAGCTCCAGATTTTTTATTAACAGTAAATTTTATCTCATTTTTTTAAGAGAACACATTGTATATGGACAGGTAACACTAAAGCAATGGATCTGCTGATTATTCTTACTATTTATTCCATAAGTGGACTAGTCTAATCATAAGCAAACTCCCTCCACCCAGTAAATGGGACATCCCTTCTTGATTCTGTTTTCCACCCAACCTTTCTTTCAACATTACATCTATTAATAATGTACGTTACAAGGTAAGGTTTTTTTTAAAAAAGCTTAGAAAGTCAGCGAGTAGCATATTATTTCATGCTTTGTGATGAACAAGGGTTTCCTTTTAATACAGTGACAAGAGTGTAGGTCAGTACCCGTAGAGGAATGGGCTTCACTCCCGTTAGGTTCTAAGTAAAGAATCGGCAAAATGAAGAAGACATCATGATCTGTACTGGTTTTCATTTCATAAAAAAGCACGTTATTTTAATTATGAGAAAGGTCCTGAAATCGATTGAAAAGAAAAACTAACAATTTCAAAACTGTTAATTAAGATGTATTTTAAGCTCATTTATAATACATGTACTTCTATATGGTAAGACCATCATCGCGTGATTTTTGTCCGGGGAGGGGGGTGGGTGTTATTAGTATCTTGTTTTGCGCTAGCTATAAAATGTACAAGTCATTTGCTTTGATTTCTAGAGTAGGATTGAAGCATTTTTGTCTCAAACACTTCAAGACAACTTTCCCAGTAAGAACTGTTCATAATTTACTTCGTCGTCGAGAACGACGGAAAACAGACCAGTCTATAAATAGAGGCCGTCTCATCAATCTATCACTGACCATTAAGAAGTGCGCCCTCAAGTAAGAGAGTACATGTAATATGAATTTCTTTAAAACGAATCATCTAACTATTTTCCTAGAATTATCAGTGGCGGATCCAGGAATTTCATAACGGGAGGGCGCAGTAGAAGGCAGGGGGTCTGGGGGGCTATATTGAAACCCCAGTGGGTCCAGAGCAAAGCCCTGATGGGGGTTCGGAGGCTGACGAATTCTTACAAATAAGAGGTGTTTTTTCCTTGATTTTAGGATAATGAACATAATAGTTCTTCATACAAAAAATTCAACCGGGGGGGGGGGGGGGCACGCCCGGCGCGCCTGTGCTGTATCCTCCTTTGATTATAATCTACGCTAGCGCACTTGCAGTTTCATCCCAACGTAACTATAGTCAGCCCGTGGGCTAACTAATAAATGACAAAATAGTGCCATGTCTTAGATATTCGTTAATCTGTAGTATTTGGTTATGAAATTTGACAAAGTCAACAGTACATCTTGTACAATGAAGTATCTCAAATATGTCGCTCCTTGGTGACGAAAACGTTAAGCACCTCTTCTGCATATACGTTCCATAGATATTGATTGATTAGTCAGGCAAGCTTTTTGAAAAGCTATTACTTGTAACATGTTTTAATTCATGTGATTTCTTCACATATTTTGCGAGTATAAAAATTTGATATTTAAGAATGCTTAATGTAACGACATGTGTTGTATTCTTTTCTTTGACATTGATTTATTTTCGCGTCATAATGATTTTGATTTTGTGCAGATTAGTTTTTGTGTTATAACATTGCAGAAAATAATGGTATAAATGGCATATAATAAACATGGTTATTGTCTTGCAATAGGGTGAGTTCAATTGGGTGGGTGGGGGGGGGGGGCACACACACACACACACACAAAAATGATTCTGAAAGTAAAAATAAAAGTATATATTGACTTCTAGAATATAGTCAATTAATAAAAGATAAACACTACTAAAATTAAATTTCTTCTAAATTTTTAAAAAGTATCTTTGGATGTCTTTACTAACAAAAAAGTCGCCCGCCTGGCGCAGTGGTTAGAGCGTCTGCTCTAGAGTCGCGGAGTGAGGAGTTGATCCTTACGTCGCGGGTTCGAATCCCACTGTGGGACGTGGAGACCAGTCCTTCGGATGAGACCGTATAACCCGAGGTTCCGTGTCGCAGTAGGTGCTGGCACGAAAAAGATCCCACACTGCTCAATGGCCGTAAGTGCCGAGTATAGGACAAAATTTGCAGCTCTCCACCGGCAAGTGGTGGCGTCTCCATATGAGTGAAAAATTCTCGAGAGGGACGTTAAACAACATACAAACAAACAAAAAACTAACGAAAAAATCGTGAGAGGCAAAGTTTGTATTTTTTATGTCTAGAATTCTTTACCATATTCTTCGATAAATAATTTTTTTCAACAAATATTTCTTTTTGCATTATACAGGAAACCCGATAATCCGGAAGTGCCATAAGCACAGCATTTTTTTAAGTATTTAACCACACGAATCATTTTTAAGACAACATTATCAAACCGATAAAAATTGTATAAAAGTAAACAAATGAACTAAATCATTGGAGCTTTGGGAGAAACATCGTCTATATTTCATTTCTTCAATTTTAATTTTTAAGTGAAGTTTTGATGGAATTTTAAAAAAAAATTTATCAAATTCTAATTTTCTTAGAATAAAACCTTTCATTGGTACTAAAGTGCTGTACAACAAATTATGAACATAATCCAGAAAATAAGTAAATGCATTTCATTGATACACAGTAGAATTCAAAGGATACTTGACACCAGGTGAGAGAGCAGTTCGGGTATGTCGACGTTGAATAGACAAGGGCCGAGATGTCGTTGGGGAGGGGGGGGGGTCTAGACCTGACAGGAAGACGTTGTACTGATTATGCAGCTAGTTCTCTTGTTACGAGAGCGCTTCCATCTGTCACTTTTTTACGGTATACACTCAGTTCTTTTCCACGCCTAAATAGCTAAGTTGTATAAATGTATATAAAAGTATTCATTTTTCTGTAAATCTTTTTCTTACATTTCCTAAGGCAATAGTAAATATGAATGGAAAACATCTACATTTTAATTTATAATTATTCTATGATGAATTAAATTTAGTATGTTCATGTATTATAAATTGTTTTTTTTTTATTTAGACACATCAGTGAAACAAATTAAATAAATAGAAAAAAAGAAATAAGTATATATGAACTACGAAACTTGTACGTATGGAAAAAAATTCTGTTAATGTTATCAAGTTCATTAAGTGGTCTCTACTTTGTGTATCATTTTTGTATCAAAACTTTAAATAATTGTACAAACATGTAGTCTAGAGTCATAAAACCATAACCATTTTACCAGACAATGATATTTATATAAGTGAATTGCTTGTACTTGTATTTGTGAAAAAAAACTTGTTATTGATTTAGTCGATTATTTTTATACATGTATTTGTTTAAAAATATTTCTTTCTTCCTTTATTTATTTATTTATTTTTGTACACGTACCTACTGCTTAATGCCTCTATAATTCTCAATACTACGTCAATAAATGTATAGCTCTTAGGACTAGGACTGTTTCAAGAAATTATCATATTTTATTTTTCGACATAAATATTTTCTACAAATCGACAAATTAAAAAAAAAACGAATGACTAGTGAATCGATTATTTCATGTCAAAGATAGGATTTAACTTTTGATTTACGCTTTCTGCGTGGTCAGAGTACTTGAGGTTTATTTATTTATTAAATAACTAACTACATGTAATTAATTAAATAATTTATTCTTACCCTATGTTCTTGATTATATACCAGAGTAAAGGTATACAGTTTTTCTCTCTCTTCAACACCTGAATGAATCGTAAATAAAATAACAAAACTTCGGGATTTCTGATAATAAAAATAACAAAAATTCGGGATATCTCGAGTGTTTCTTCTCAAGGTAAAGATAAAAAAGAGAGGGTTTCCGAATGCACAAAATCAACACAAAACACGATACAAGAATCTGAATCTGATAAACGATCTTCATGATAAACGCAAAACCTTATTAACGGAAAACATGATAGAGAACGCAAAACCCGATAAACAGAAAACACGATACGATAGGATACGATAGGATACAGGTACGATACGATAGGATAAACGCACGATACGATAGGATAAACGCACGATAGGACACGATAGAATTGTAAATAATAACGATGCGGGTACTGTAGCTATTGTACAGTTTTGTTCAGATGCATAAGAAATGCCCACCGATAAGTTTATTTTAGTTGTACGTCGACTTCAAAGAAAAATACATTTGGTCGTGCAACAATGAAATTTAATGCCCACAGACCTATAGACGAACAAAACGTGATTTTATCTATCTATTAAAAAGAGATATTTCCTTCTGAGGCAATTTTAATTGTAAAAATCATTCTGGTTCCTCTTTAAGTAAACGTTTTCTACTTTTAATAAATTTTTAATGCTTTTTTAAGAAGTACTTAATTTATACTTTCATTACTTATATACGTTCACGGTAGCTCAGTCGGTAGAGCGAGCGCTTCATAATCGGAAGGTCGTGTGTTCGAATCACGACCGCGAATGACCTAAGTCGATAAAAAATAGGTAGCAACTGTTCCTTCGCAAAGCGCTCGGCACTTTGAAGTGAAAGTTGCAGGTCTTTCGGATGAGACCTTAAAAAGCGAGGCCCCGTGTCACGGTAGGCATTGGCACAATAAAGAACCCTCACTGCTTAATGGCCCTGAGTGCCGAGTGCAGGTCTAAATTTGAAGCTCTTCACCGGCATACGGTGAAGTCTCTATATGAGTGAAAAATTCTCGAATAGGACGTTAAACAACAATCAATAAATCATTATTAATATATACAAAATTTTACTGTAAATGCTGTTTCTCCAGTTGAAGGACCTGTTTAGTTTCTTGTTCTTGGCGATGTTTGTTGTCGGGGTTGGTATTTACTGCCATGTAAATCTATGACCGGATCATCAGACGATCAGGAGTGAAGATAGGACAGATTGGAGAATTTGGACGATAATCTACTACCCTTACTGTCAACTCTACAGAGAATCATTCAGAGATTTGCATCAAGGTCATATGGCAATTACGTTTTGGATTTATAGATGTCAATTAACTATAAAATTAAGTTTCTTTTAATCAAATAATCATGTATTGCTATTGAAAAGTATTTATAATTCATATATAAATATTTTTCCAGTTCTAAACTGGGAAAGAATATTTGTATGCTATCCCAAGTTTGCTTTATAGGATAAATAAAAGAAATTTAATCTTTATTCTCATACAAAAATGAATGTAAATGCATGTGCTCAATCCAGCGCTTTTAAGGAAGGAATAATGATGATATGTTGGTCATTATAGGCGAAGACATCTCGAACTGTACCAATATAACATCCGTCTGGGAAGCCGATACCTCAATCGACCGTTGCCCACAACAAGACTGGACAGTGTTAGCTATCTCAGCTTTTTACATGCTCTTCTCTAATCTTCTGTTGGTCAATCTGGTGATTGCCATGTTCATGTACAATAATGATTAATGATATCATTAAAAGTCTAAATATACAAGTTTTAATTATATAAATTTAATTTTTTAAAGAACTTTTATGATGCAAAAAACGAGTTTTAATTTACATACATTCTATACAGTATTGCAAATCAAATTAAAATGGAAAGGATAATTTTTACATCCTCTTTGAGATTGGATTTGTGGACTCTTTAATACAAATGTTTGTTTAATATTTTTTCTCACTTTTTAATTTCTAAAAAAATATTTTATTGTTCAACATACATTTTTCAGCTACACATCTGAAAGGGTGCAAAATAATGCAGAGAAACTATGGCGGTTTGAGAGATATACGGTAAATAACGACAATGATTGGAGGATTCCGTCCCCTATCAATCTTATTTTTTCTGCCTTATCGTTTCTGTTCCTGCCCAGGAAGACAAGGATGTTGCTTACATAAATGCAGGCCTAGGGGTATGTAAATTTGAATCTATTCATCAAATTTATTATTATGAGTATTGCAAGGAATAGCAATATAATTTGGCGTCTGTCTTTCTTGTGTCTTAAATTTTTTAAAATTAATGGTGATATTATTTCATCCTTACTGTTTTATGTATATAAAAATTTTGGCAAAGGCAACAGATATGTGAATGATCCAGTCCTAGAATGTTGTGCTAAAAAGGTGGCGGAGGAAAGAACAGAAGCAGAAAAGGTTGTGAGATTCCGAAAAAAAATTCCAAAAGATAACAGCTTTCAAAAAACGGAATAATTTTTAGAGAGGAAATGGTTCATTGAAAGCTAAAGTTACAAAATTAGATGTGAAAAATGTGAAAGAGACAATTCGTCACCAGAAGATTATTTTATAAATAGTACAAATTAAGTATAATTAATTAACACAAGTACAATAATTGTTACATTAAAAGTTTAATTCTAAAGTTAAAACTTATCCAAAGGGTAATTTACCCGGGGGTATTGCATTTCCTGTGCAATACCTAGATCTCGGTGCCAAGACTCTTACCATAGCAGTTAATTTCCCCAAATTCGCGTAATAATGTCAAATTCAATGTGTTATCGTTGTGGAGAATTATTCTACAAAGGACATCTTATCAAGTGTAAGGCGATGAATCGACAGTGCTTTAAAATGTCAACAATTTAGCCACCTTTCAAAACAATTAGGAACTCTGAAACCAAGCAAGTGACCATTCTTTTCGTGAAAAAGAAGTCCGTCCACAAGAAAGAACGAGACCAAAAACGCTGGAATGAATTTCAATCTAGGCACGTGTCTGCCATGGAATTACCAATCAACAGCATTGAATCTCAGGCTGAGTTTCTATTCGCGATAAATTCCCTGTCTACAAAGCCTTTAGGTGACCAACAACGCAAGAACACAATATTAACTGACAAAGTGCGGAATTTCAAGAAAACAATTGAGAGCCAGCAAGAACAACTTACATCCTTAGAGAGTAAACTCTCAGCTGCGTTGAAGAAAAACAAGGATGAAAAAGAAAGAAAGAAAATATTTGTTGATGACCTGGAAGACAAACTGAACGACGCGCGAACAAAGAACAAAGCTCTGGAAAAGAAGATTGGACAAATGGACACAGAAATTTTTGAACTGAGAGAAGCCCTTCGGTCCGTGTCAAATCGGCTGGTAGCAAAGGAGCGTTAGTTAAGTTTTAGTAGGTTAGTGACACCGGTACCCTGTGTTCCAGTTCCAATACAGAAGAAAAGCGTCGGAACCAACACGGATACTTGTAGCCCCAAACAAGTCAACGACGCATCCACACAAATGCCAGCTAGCGTACAGGACAAAAAATATATTATCCCCCAGGCCCTACCAACCATATAGAAGCTAAACAGTTCTCGCGGAAAAAGAAACCGAAACGTAACAAAGAACAACAGAATGCTGTGTCTCCCAATTACCCGGTATCAACCTTCACAACAACAGCGCTTTTCACCCTTTCCCCGACAGCCTTCCGTACCGACAGCAAATTATGCTCCCTTTTATGGATTTTGACTTTGAGCTCCGGACTATCAGTGACTTTTTAAAAATTGTTTCAAAATTCAAAAACATTTAAATTCTTGTCATATTTTTTATTATTCAATTATTTCATAATATGTACCCTAACTAAAAATACTATAGTAAACTATAGTTAACTATAGTATCAAAGTAAGAACTTTGGAACTTTAATTTACTTTAGTAAAAACTTTGGAACTTTGATTTACTTTAGTGAAAACTTTGGAACTTTGATTTACTATAGTAAAAACTTTGGAACTTTGATTTACTATAGTTAAAACTTTGAAACTTTGATTTACTATAAACGCATTCCAAAATCAAAACAGAAAATCTTTTTTTCTGTTTTAGGCATTTTGCCCTCAGGTATTGACAAAATCTAACAAAAAAAACACAGTTTTATAAGATATTTATTCATAAGATTGTGAAAAATCAGCGTTTTTCTAATAGAAACACGATCTAGTGTCACAAATAAACTAAAATGTAAATATTTGGAGGAACTATTGACAATTTAGCAAGACTTTACGGGGTAAATTTCCCCCGAAAGAAAATCACTGATTCACATCTTAAAGATAGCAAAAAACTACAGGGTAAATTTCCTCTCAAAAATGACATTGAAACAGTGTACCTACAGTAATTCAAAACAAAAGCAACCATCGTTTAGATAGCAAGACTTTACGGGGTAAATTTTCCCCAAAGAATATCATTGATACAGTATTCCCTACTCTTATAAAAAGCGAACATTACACTTTGAAAATCGATGAACTCTACAGGGTAAATTTCCTCTCAAAAATATGACATTGATTCAGTTTATGTACAGTGTTTGAAAGCAAAAGCAACCATCTTGATGATAGCAAGATTAACGGGGTAAATTTCCCCCCAAAGAAAATCACTAATACAGTATTTATGATTCGCAAACATCGTGAAGATGGCAACAATCTACAGAGCAATTTTTCTCTCAAAAATGATAATGATACATTTTATACACTAGTGCAGTATTTCTAAGCAAAACACCAATCTTGTAGAAAGCAAGATTTTACGGGGTAAATTTCCCCCCAAAGAATATCATTAGCTGATACAGTATTCACTACTCTTATAAAAGCGAACATTACAATTTGAAAATTGCAGGACTCTACAGGGTAAATTTCCTCTCAAAAATGACATTGATTTAGTTTATATACAGTGTTTGAAAGCAAAAGCAACCATCTTGATGATAACAAGACTTTACGGGGTAAATTTCCCCCCAAATAAAGTCACTGATACAGTATTTATGATTCGCAAACATCGTGAAGATGGCAACAATCTACGGGGTAATTTTCTCTCAAAAATGACATTGATGCAGTTTATACACGGTATTTCAAAGCAAAAACAACCATATTTTAGATAGCAAAACTTTACGGGGTAAATTTCCCCCCAAAGAATATCACTCATACAGAATTTATGCTTCACAATATCTTGGCGGTAACAAAAATCTACAAGGTAAATTTCCTCTTAAAATAATTATTGATACAGTTTATCTTATACGTAGAAAAAGCGAACATTACACTTTGAAAAATCGTTGAACTCTACAGGGTAAATTTCCCCTCAGAGATGATACTGATACAGTTTATATAAAGTATTAAAAACAGAAACACCCATTGTTTAGATAGCAAGACTTTACGGGGTAAATTTCCCCCCAAAGAAAATAACTGATTTAGTTTTTATGATTCACAACATCTTAAAAATAGCAAAAATCTTCGGGGTAAACTGCCTCTCAAAAATAACATCGATACAGTTTCCATATATTAATTCAAAGCAAAAGCACCAATCTTTTAGAAAGTAAGACTTTACGGGGTAAATTTCCCCCCAAAAGAAGGTATCACTGATACAGTATTCATTACGCTTATAAAAACGCAACAGTACACTTTGAAAATCGCAGAACTCTACAGGGTAAATTTCCTCTCAAAAATGACATTGATTCAGTTTATATACAGTGTTGAAAGCAAAGGCAACCATCTTGATGTTAGCAAGACTTTACGGGGTAAATTTCCCCCCAAAGAAAATCACTGAAACAGTATCTTTGATTCGCAAACATCTATAAGATGGTTACAATCTATAAGGTAATTTTCCTATTAAAAATGACATTGATACAGTTTATATACAGTATTTCAAAGCAAAAACACCCATCTTTAAGATAGCAAGACTTTACGGGGTAAATCCCCCCCCCCCCCCACAAGAATATCACTGATACAGAATTTATGCTTTGCAATATCTTGGAGGTAGTAAAAATTTACGGGGTAAATTTCCTCTGAAAAATATTACTGATACAGTTTACATCATACTAAAAAAAAAAAACAAACATTAAACTTTGAAAATAGCAAGTATGTACGGGGTTAATCCCTCCCTCCCAAAGAGTATCAATAGTACAGTTTATATTATTCAAAGCATGAACAAACACTGCAACTCGATGGTAAGGTAAATTCAAGGTAAATTTCCTCTCATAAAATAAACTAATTCTGTATATATTGTTTACAGAAAAAGCATACATTACATCTTGATGACAAAAAGACTCGGGGTAAATTTCATGTCAAAGAATATCAATAATATATTATTTTTATATTACAAACGATACCTTTATCTTAATATCATGCAAGCTGGAAAAGCTAAATATTAAAGTTAACATAATATTAAACCTTCTGAACATAGAAAAACATACAAAAACATAAAAAAAAACCTCTGACGTCTTTCTTTCTCTGTTAAAGGTATAAGATTTCTTTGTGTATCGTTACACTTTCTTTATTTAAACAGGGTCCTCCTTTAATATCTTTGACCGAAGTTCCAATACTATGCTTTTCTCTTGGCTGATACAATAGACAGATTGTAGAGTGCATTTTCCAAAGGAAATCTGGCAACCATATTCTGAACCAATCCATAGTCGACCTATGGATGAAAATTTTAAGTCTCATAAACTTCAATTTTCCAAAGCCTTAGGCATTTATATATGATTTCATGACAGATATGACTGGTTTAATATTGCGCACTAGAGTAGATCAGCAGGTGCCTGCTCCCGAATTTTTGTAAAACAGTCTTTCTGTTTATATTGCATGGAAATTGCATTCTTCTAAAGATCCCCCACCCCAACACACTCATATACACACATCCATTTATACATGTTTCTGAGAATAATGCTCATTCGTGATATGGGTCTACATAAGATAATCAAAAAAAGTTAAATGCACTTACTATGGTATTGTATTTGTATTGTAAATGTATTACTGATGCCCTCTAGGTCCATCATGGACGTTTTTTAAGGGGAAGTGAGAGAGGTAACTGATAACATATGCAGATAGTTTTACTGCAACCTAAATGTTGGTTAAAGTTTAACATTTCAGCTTCAATTATTTCACGTAATAAAGAAAGCAACCAAGTTCCGAAATCCTTATGCTGCGCAATGGAATTGTAGATCAGGAACGAATTCAAATGCAGATACTGCCTAAAAAATACATATATCGTGACATATAAGAAATTGTATATTTACCTTGTTTGTTCAAGATTTCGACTTGAATTTGTAGTTCAGTTCCAGTACAAAGCAGTCTCTTTTGTATCGAATCGTCCATAAAAGTACACTTTTGAAACATTCATAAAGTAGTTGCATCCACAAAACTGAGAGGTCATCTAGCTTGGTTTCCTTTCCCTAATTTGCTTAGTGTTCTGTGTGACCTTTGGCGTGGATGAGCCAGGGAACAAGGCAAATGAACGCCGGCCATATCAATACGGCCAATAATATTTAAATTCCCAACTCACTATTCATCATGTAGTGTATATTACAGGGAAACGGACACATTGCTTTCAAGGAAAATGAGTGAATTTATCAATGGGTGGTTGCGAGAAAAACATTTAGGTGATCAGTTTCTCATCACTTTACTGTTTACTCTTCCGCTGCGTGAATTCCAGATGTTATTCAACCCTTTTATTGGATAGCATTGCGGTCATGTCATAAATCTGACCTAAGCTAAAATAATTTCTACATTTTCTCAGCATCCATGTCTTGATCTATAAAAAGCACAGGTTGCCCTTCTTAAAACTTGGTGACATTTTACATATACTCTACTGCAGTTGCATATGCATCATCTATTCATGTGGCAGTTATTATTACTTTACTAATTATGTAAGATATGAAAAAAATTATGAACAGTTATTCTTTTTCAGTTGATCTTTCTACTTTGACACAACCTTAGGTTGAAAAAGAGAGGAAAAAAATATGTAGCTAATGAAAAGCAATATTGATAGAACGTATTATTGGCTTTAAAACTCGAATATATTGTACATCAATTTAAAAATTAAAGAAAAAAAATATCCACCTTCGAATTGCTTTCTATATACTGGTGTCTACCTTTCCTAGCTGTATTCTTTGCGAAGTATCGGATGTCAAGTGCAAAAACTAATGAAAGAATAATAGACAAAAATTTAAACATAAGATTTTTCATGTACCATAATTACAGTGACGAAATCTATTTCTGTTGTTTATATTTTTCTCTTTACGTCTTTTTTCCCGAAATTATAACATTATATTTTTTTTTATACATATACATGTGTATATGTACAGATTAAGAGAAATGTACATGTATAAAAAAAAAATAAAACTACAAGTAGACATGGTAGAGGCCGTGTACCAT